ACGAAATATTTAAATGTAAAAAAAAAAAAAAAAAAAATCACCCTGTCTCCTGAACAGAAATCAGTTCCACGTGGAAAAATCTATAGGGGGAAAAAAAAACTCCACTATTGAAGTATCAGTCCCAACTTCTGAATAAATAAACAATTTTTCCTGCAGTTGAATGTTTTCACTCAAATCAACGATCAGCTCTCACATGCCTGCTTAAATATGTCTGACTTTGGTCCTTACAAAATGACAAGACTACAGTATGATAAACCAGATGATAGTTTAAAGCGAGACAATGAGGCATTGTTTACACAGAAGACTGAGAAACTGGTTTAACAAAAGGGGTCCATGGACAACTATTGTATGTAGAAGAAGGAGATTTACTGGAGATTTTATAATTTCTACAAGGTTCTTTCCAACCAGCTTCATTAACTTGAAGTAAATGAAATCATGCAGAGATCTGGCTCAGCCAGAAAGACATGCCGGGAAAGATACAAAATGAAGAAGAACAGACGCAAGATGATAAGCTTTAGAATCTTTGGCATTTTTCATAAACATTTTCAAGGTTTTTAAATCTGTATATCCTCCCATTCCCCCCCCCCCCCCCCCCCCCCACTCGCCTATAAATACATTATACATGTACTCTTCTTTACACACAACTCTGTATACGCATGGGTACACAAGCACATGTGCACACAAAGAGGCATTTTTGTGGCTTTTTAAGCCAGGATAATCTTTTTTCTATCTTTCCATTTGCAGCTACACACAGCTTTGCATGAGCAAAATACCTTCTTTATCCAATCAAGTCTATGAAAATGTGCCTCTCCTTATTCAAAGGCACAGCGAGGCTCGTTACTCTGAAAAATAAACTTCTTTAAAAATCACTGAATCTTGCTAATAATCCAGTGGAAGATACTCTGGTGTTAGTTTTCCTTCTTCAAACTCATGCAACAGGCCCACAAGACTGCATTACTGAACACACGGCACGACTCCATTTGGATTGCCGAACCATAAGCAAGGTTTTACCCGTTTTACCTTTAATTAGATGACTTCCAAAGTCTTCTTTTGTTAAAAAGAAACCTGTCTCTCGGGGTTCTCTATTTCTTTGTACTGTGAACTACCCCAGGGGATGGTGGTGGTAACCCATGCCTGGGAATCACAAGAAGCAACTCCAGCTCTTGTGCTACCAATGACTTGTGGTGGCAAGTGGCTCCCACAACGTCCTACAGCACCTAAAGGACCGAGGGCTACACTCTCACCAAAATTAAGCAGGTTTACGTATGATTCTGTGTTTCAGTTTCCCCAGTCAAACAACATGGATAATGCTGGTTATCTGAATTTTATAAAGCAAAAGCACAATAGCTAAAAGATTGGTAAGCAAGCAAGAAATCACATTCTCCTCAGAATAGAAAATGGGGTCCTTTCTCCCATCTCTTCATTGCTCAGTTTCCGTATGACTTCACTTTCTGATCCTCTCCTTGCGAACCACCAGGAAAGACTCCAGTGAGACATCGGTGGTGGACCAAAACCTGCACACTATTGCACAACCACGTCTTTGGGCACCGTGCTCTCTTTCTGCACAAGCACTTGTTTCTTTAAGGCTGTAAAGTGTTTTTTCTCTTGGATCTGTAGTGTTGACCCCTCTGGATTTAGACAGGAAAACAACAGCTATGCTGAAAATATCCGATGAGATGGAATTATAAAAGGCAAGTCAACAGAGTCTTTCCAGGTCAGTGAGTTAGGCTTTTCTACAGTCTCTCAATCCTTTCACGGCAGAAGGTTCTCATGCATCCATTGCCAGCAATGGATCTCCGATGATTCCAGTATCCAAAGAGTTAACCGCAGGGTGGGCTTTAAAAACAGAAGGGGGGGGGGGGGGGAAAGAAAAAGAAAACCCAACAAGTGCTGGATGAAACATTGAGATACTGTTGGAGCTCCTAGCTCTTTCTGCTAATTATGATAAAAAACTTTTTAAAATGTACACTGCTTGAACAGAAGATGGGTATCAAAGACTCGTTAATTCAGAGCTTAAACCTTTCTAGGCGCAGTGATTTAACTCAGAAAAGAATAGCTTTCATATCTTAATGTAAATCTGTTGGATATGTTAAAAACTGGTTCAGAGCATCTCCTCACATCAGCTCAGCTGATCTGCTATACTAAGCGGAATTATCTCTTCCTACATAAAACAGGGAGTGCTGCCACATCCAGCCTTGCCCCTGCAATCGAAGGGAAAAAAAAAAAAAGAAAGAAAAAGAAAGGTGCAGTTGCACCATCCTCTCCCATTCTCCTCCCCACCCCACAAACTAGTTCATATGTTCCACCTTGCTCTTTTTTTGGGTTACGACTCCATGCCGGAAAGACAACCCAAAAAAGACAACCAAAGATAGGTGTTTCTCAAAAACCACGTCTTCAAAAAAAGACAAGTCTGTGTCTGATTATAGTGTTGTTCTGAAGCAAGAAGAAGGGGACGGGGGAAGCGCATGTGCACACGTCGGGGGTACGGAGGGAGATGCTGCATTCCGAAATCACGCTGCATCCTACAGCGCACTCCGCTTCTTCCTAATGGGACTGGAGCTGCTGTATGGTTTCAATTCAGCATGCTGCACCTGTAAAAACAAATAGACATGACGTTTGCAGTTAGGTAACTCTAGCTCACTACAGTGTGTGTTAATGGCTCCCCGAGGACAAACCAAGGGAAACTAAGGAAGGTTCAGAAGTAATGAATCATTTTCTAAACACAGGAACATGGGGGATTAATTGCAGGAAGGATTTGAGAAGTCATGCATCATTTCTTGAAACGAAAATATTAAAAGCAGATTTTTCTAATGAGATACATGGGGTTCTACCTGATTTCAGCAACGTAGGCTAGGTCTTTTGGGTTTGTTTTGGTTTGGGAGTTGTTTTTCTTATCTTTCTGGCATTAACCTTTAAGTCTAATAAACTTCTCTCAGGAGTTTCAATTCAAGTGGATCCCAATACACAGTAAGATGACAGTTGTCAAAACCGTACACAGACCTTGGGATGCTGACATATTTAATCATTTCAAAAAAGGAAAATATTTTCCCAAATAGAACCTGGACAAAGCTGCCTCCACTTTTCAAAACAATTTCATATACAATATAATGGTTAAAACATGTGTGATAAACTGACAAGGATGGTGTAATCTCCAAATTGTCTGTTGTGCTACAGAAAAGTATTCCCATTGAAATCACAGGAAACTTTTGCTGAACGTGCCATCTTTTTCACTCCTCCTCTGCCTTTTGTCCAACACGTGGGTTGTAAATGGCTAATGTACAGAGGTAATTTCTAACTCATTGTGGTACCACAGTGAAATGCTGATGCATTGATAGCACATAAAATGAAGCAGAGGGGCTTTGGAGCTGCCACGGATGACTTTTCACTAGAGCGTGTGTGTGGCTGTCACACAGGCTCACTATATTTAGCACTAGTGGAAAACTCTGAGGTTTGTCCCATCCTAGGAACTTTTATCACTCCTCCCTCATAGAAAATGGTTATAATTTTCCTCAGAGAGCTCAAAGGATCCCAAAATGATAGAAACCATTCAAGGAAATGTTATAAATGTAAATGTTAAATAAAGCATAAATAGAAAAGCAGCTTATCTTTAAACATAAACACTAAAAGGGCATATGCAAACCATCACTGCAAATCCTGCGTGCTCTACAAGAGCAATGACAAAAAAAATAAAAATACAGTGAAGCTTAATGTCTCTATGGTCATTTCTGTTTAGCTTTTTTCCCTCCACCAGTCTACGGCGAGATTTCTCTCAAGTTATTAGTGCTGCCACCAACCAATGTGGTGGCCTCTTGAAATAAATGTCACCAGAAGTCTTTTCCAACCTTCTTTCTACCAGATGCCTCGACACTGCATGTGGGCAACTATTTTTCTGTCTCCAGCAGAGTAAAATCCCTATAGGTGAGATCGTGATCCCCTTATCCACAGTGAGCAGCACCTCGCTGTGAAAGTGCCAGAGGAAGGTACAATGTCAGTGGCACCCAGGGCGTCGGGATCAGGGCCTGAGGAGACGGATTCCAGTTGATTAAAACAAAAGCAAGAATCCTTTATATCGTGTGGCTTTGTTACCCAGCAAGACTATTTTCCTTCCTTCAAGAGAAATAAACAGATCTTGACATTCTAAAGGACTTATTGTTCAAATAATTTCCAGGAAGATAGGCGAGATTACTGAAGACAGTGTTGTTGTCAAGACAAGAACTGACTGAAATTGAGGGAGGATAGATTCTGGTTAGATTAAAAGTTATAATTCCATAATGGTAGAAGATTGATCTGATCAACCGCAGAGTATTTTATACACATCTCAGGGCTTTCTCTAAAGAAAAAGACGAACGGAGCATTGTCCAAGGGAGGCCTGGAGTTCAAGGTGGGTGGGGAGGAAGAATTTTGAGGGACAGCTGATGTGAAAAACACCACAGCAAACAGAGTCACGGAAATAATGCCCCCCCTGCCCAGCTCCATCTTGAGAAAAGGGAGAATTCAGCAAATCCTTTTGGATGGTTATCTCTATCAAAAAGACTATTTTTCTCTTCCCTCCGTACAAATACTGGAGCAGAAAGGTGACGGAAACCATAGTTCAGTAACCACGCTGGGTGATTTTCCAGATCATTTTTAAGTAGGTCTCTTCAGGATAATTTTTTCTGCAATCAATTTTATCCTTCTGACAAAGGATTTTGGCTCCCCTCTCTTCTAACACCCTCCCCCTCCTCCCTTTGTGGATTTTCCCGATTCCTTATCTCCGTTATTCAAAAGTGCACTGGCATCGTATTCCCCAAGCAGAGCACCCAGCCGCTCTCAGTGCCGCTTGTTGCCTCTGTTGGCAGTGGCCATTCATTACCTACCTTTTGAACATCAGATGGTACCCTGGAGAGGAAATCTAGTAGCTCATTATTGTCGATGGCGTAGGGATTTCTAAGCTTCTTAGTAAATTTATTTATGCCTAGAAAAAAAAAAAGAGCAAACAAAATAATACAACCCCTTTCTATTCCCTCCCTCCTAAATTGTTCAGGCAAGGTGGAAAAGGGAAGAGGAATTCACAAGTAAGAATTAGTGTGAAAACAGTGCCTCGGACTTAAAGCCATGCACATGTTCCCCGTCATGGGGAATCATTCACAAGTGCCTCCTGGAGGAAGTAGAGGGCGTTATTTATAAAGGTATTTCTCTACTTTGGGTATCATCTGTTGTCAACAACATGGCAAAAAAAAGATAACAGCAGGCATTCATTCTGGGGGATACTGTGGGGAGAATATACAAATTTGCAGCTGAGACTACTGCTAAATCTGCTATTCTATGTGACCAAAGACATTCCCTCTCCTCATGCCCAGGGAACTGCAGGGCTCTGAAAATAATTGGGCAGGATAAAGGCTTTTTTCCTTCCGTTTCTTCTGAAAATGAAAGCTTCCCTTCCCCATCACATCTTATAGCTTGTCCTCTCTTTGCAGAACCAGATTTGACAAGTTGGTCATATTATGATGCTGTGGGAAACTAAAAACTTATCACAAGGTTTTCTTTATTTTGATCTTAGGGTGAATAATTTGGCTTATTCACTGCAGCAACAGTGCTACCAGTGTTCTCCATGGACTTAGTTATGCTTCAGCTATCAGAGGTGGTCCCTGGTGGGACAAGATCCATAGGAGTGTATTGTTCATGTTACTGCGGAGATCATGAGGTCTTTTCTTCTGCCTTTGAGGAAAGGGAGCGACGAGCAGCCCTCAGCCAGCACCATCTCTATTGCACGGTCCGGGATGAGAAAGCGAGAGGCCTGAGGCTCTCCCCTTGTGCCAATGCAGCCACTTAACACCCTACTGCCACCACTTCCCCACTAAGAAATAGCAACTAGTAGTGTGGTTACGTAAAGGTGTGGTAAAGAGCAAAGGATCATTAGACGAAGAAAAGCGGCTAACCCATTTTAAAGAACAGCAAAAATATTCAAATGTTGGTTGCCCTGAGGATCACAATACAGCACTCAATTTCATCATGCCCCTGTCCAAAATCTCATAGTAGTTTCCCTGAAAGTGATTTCAAATGCGATGGCTGTTCCAGCCTTCTCCTCTCTCTGAAATGTACCTGCTTCACGTCTGAAATTCAGCTTTTAAACCATATACTTGCAGCAAAATGCCAACACAGTTTTCTGTGTACCTGATTTTTAAAAAACAGAAAATACCATAAGGTCTTTTGAGGCCTTGCCACAGGGTAGTTGTTTAACATGTATCATATTTGAAGGCCCTGTCAGTCTAGATGATGTTGAATGGATGTATAGTTTTCATGTACTCACCATGTCTTCCATACAAGAACAGCAATATTTTGTAACTGAACTTTTTACTCCTAGCAATTTCTCTCCTTCCCTTTTGCCCTTTCTTTTGTTTGGTTTAATCCTTTATTTCATTTTTTTTTTTGCCCAAGAGTGGCTTTTTGTACTGCCACCTTCTCATTCCCTCCCTTTTCTGCATCCAGGAGAGCCAAGACAGCAGCAGATGGCTCAGCCCTGGAAGGGTGACAGGGGCTCCCTACAGCCCAGAGCCGCACCGGGGCTGAGCTTCAGTGGTTCGGTGAGGATTACCTGCATTATGTTCTCAGCCGTCGTTCCTCAAGGCTGAGATAAAAGCTATCAGCCGAAATAAGATAGAAGGCCATTTTGTGATGAAGAAAGTCTTCAGCAGCTGGAATCCATCTCCTTTTGTGAAAGACCATCTTACTCTTCTTCATACCACCTTGTGAAAGACCATCTTACTCTTCTTCATAACAAAACCAGGAAAGTTTTCATTTTTAAAAGCTCCTCTTTTACTTCATGATGCACCTTCCTACAAATACTTTCTGACCCGTGATACAAAGAGATGCTCAGTGCCTCCCGTTGGACCATGGGGTTACTGGGCGCACTGCTCCTCCTGATTGCAGGGGAGTTAAGACCCAAAAGGCTCCCGGAGTCCAGGCCTCTGTGGTCCAGCTCTTCGAACACATCTTGCCCACCCCCTACCATTTCCCAACTGGAGGGCTCCAGAACCAGGAAGCTAATTACTCTCCTGCAGAATAATAATAATAATATTGAAAGTAGCTTATCTAGACTAATGGTCTTGTGGTGCTCTTGGAAGCCTACAAAGAACCCTAAAAAAAGCAGATCATCAGATCACCCGGGGGGGGGGAAATGGTAATTTTAACAAGTTCATAGCATATTTATTCACCTCTAAGCAACAGCACTTGATTGTCTGTGTAACAGGTCATTTAAAGCTTGTTTGATTTCATTCTGTAGATATATATTGTATTTATTGCATGCAAATGAGACACGGTGGAGTACTTACCCCAGATTAAAACAATGTACCTCAGTGGTATAAAATACAAAATGACTGTTGCTGCTGCCAGGACCAAGCAGGCCAGGACAGAGAGGAAAGGCACCGTCCAGTTGAACGTGCTGTAAAGAAAAACAATAATCCTTCTCAATGTTTCTGCTCTTGGACACTGCTTGTACTCTGCTACCCAATAATAATTTAATGACCTCTTTGCAGTGCTCGGCGCTTTCAAATGCACCGTAAACTGCAGGCCCTTTGGAAGGTGGATAAGCAGATTCCTGCATCTGGATGCTATAACGGATTAAGGGAGATATCTGAGAGGCAGATATCACGATAAGGAGAGAGAGGATAGTCTCTGGGGAGCTCAGTGAAGTTGTTAGGCATGTAGCGAGTTGTTTTTGTTTCTTCTTATACGTGTCGCACTTGTTACACATCTCTGCTCACCAGTCAGCTCTCCATTATTCATGGGTGGATTATCTGATCTGGAGACAAGGCCATGCCGCAGGTGAGAGCCATCTGAGCCGGCTCCACTGGGCCACAGCGGAGATGACATGGGATGTGTGTCAGTGCACGACTCAAATGTGGCAGGTAGCCAGACGCAACCCTGCCAATAACTTGGAGTGGATTAATTATGACTGATGCTAAACCTTAAAAGAGCAGTTAAAGTAATTTCTCTGTATACTATTAGGGAATAATATTCTATATAAATCTCTCTTAATATTTATATATTTGCTTTTATTTCCTTATGCTTTCAACAATTCTGTACTATGCTGTATATAGGAGGCTGTCTTGGGTAAGCTACAGTACGCCAGCAGCAGTCCAAGCTTCTGCACACCACCAACCCGCATCAGATTTTTCCCAAGGAGAGCACTCTCCAGAGGCTCAGTTACTACAGTCGTTGAGACTTTTGCAGCATTGTAGCACAAAACAGGACTTCCTCTCACTCAGACCACTCATCCGTAAGCCCACAATGGACTTAAGGTGAGCAGCTATTGCGAACGCATCTTTGGAGTTATTTTGTCCCCCTGTGCCCTTGTAAGATACATCTCTACAGCAGGCACCAAGCATTGAGATACCTGGACTACACGCATGCCAATTAGTCCATAGGTGGATTTATGGGTCTGGGCATCTCTGTTTCATACAATCTGCCTGCTAACTTCATCACATCATGACGACGGGGAGTAGGAAGAAGAGAGAATGAACGTGGACCACTTATCAGGCTACAAAATAAGACAAAATTCCCCTGACAGGTAAAATTAGTAGGACGCTAAAAGAATTACTTTTAAGCTTCAATAGATGTATTAAATATTAAGTAAAGATAGGTGGGAGAGGACCCATCATTATCAATCAACGTAGCTTAAGTTAAAGTAAAAAAAATAGAAAACAGCTCAATTCAGTTAATCTATTAAAACTGCCTATAATTGTATAACTAGAGTGACAGACGGAAACTGCAGCACAATTCAGTCTGTCACTTACAGAAAAACTTTGGTGGCAATTTTTTAATGGTACATTACTGTTGAGTTACAATGGAATTCTTCTGAAATTACATTGGGCATCCACATTAATACCCAATGTGTTCTTTAAGACCATTGTTACCAAAATGAATACAAGAATTAATAGTGCTTAAGCACTCTGAGTCTTCCTGCCATGCAGCTGGGCAGAACAGTGCCCTGTTCATAGACCAGAATATATCTTTGGGCCACTTCCACCCCAGCTGGGGTGTCCGGCATGGAACCACAGCACATGCGTTTGCTGTATTTTTAGCTTGAACCCAGCTCCTCATTAAAGTGTGGCTCGATCACAAACCATCACTGTGTTCAAAACAGAAAACAATGTGGGTCAATTAAACTCCAGTAAAGATTGGGTTATAAATTTGTGTGGGCAATGCGGGTCAATTAAACTCCAGTAAAGATTGGGTTATAAAAGTTTGTGTGGTTTTTTTTGTTTTTTTTTTTTTTTGTTTTTTTTTAGGCTTTTCACCTCCCTCCTGTGTAAGGTCAGGAACACCCTATGTGCCTCCCCTTGCGAGGAGGCCCAAAAATCCCCCTTCGGGCTTCCTCGTGGCACCAGCAGGAAGCAGACAGCTCAAAATGGTAAAGAGAGAAGAACATCAATGCGTTGGGCAGGGAAATAAGTGACTGGTAACCCCTGTAATCAGGCCAGGGTGGGGAGGGCGTGGGAAAGGCAACATCAACCATCAATTCCTACCTAATTTCCATGAAGAAAGGAAATGCCTGATATAGGATAATGCACTCACATCTTCAAGCAATATTTTCCCTTGTGTGGCATCACAACTCCCTACCTCATCACGAACAGACAAAACCAGAAATCTGGGCAAATGTGAGAGCTACATCAGTAGAACACACGGCGGCTTCTCTTCTCTATGCTTTGGAAAGGGTTTTGGAGTAAAAGACTCCAAGAGAAGAAGAAGTGGTGGGACTGGCCAGGTTCTCCTGTACCTTGCAGTCATTTTTGGAGCAAGACATTCACTTTACCTTAATCCTCCTGGCTCTGCTTCATTGCAAATCATGGCTAAGCAAGAAAAATTTATGACTTACTTTTTAATCCTCTCTCCAAATGATGCTATTTCTTCTAGGATGCTTTGAACAGCTACAATGACCTCTTGGACCATGTGGATTCTGTCAATTAACCCCTTTTTCTCAGATTCCTGACAAAAAAAAAAAAAGGAAAACCAAAACTTTTTATACATTCAGTATTTGTTAACATGTTCACGTGAAGAAAGTAGGATTCCCAGTACTGCTGATGCATCCATGAACTCAAGTATATCACTGAAGGAAGGAGAGAACACACACCCTGGGTTTATCACATACAATTAACATGAAGACATATAGTTCCCTATATTTTCTTCTTCCTCTTTCTCAGCACACGGGCAGAGGCTTCTACATCTTCCAACACAAGTCAACTGCAGGATCTCAAACCAGGCTTTCACTGAAGAAACCAGCTGCATGCCCAACCAGAAGAGATGCTGAGCACCCCTGAGTCCAGTTGACCTGTAGGGGAGTGCTGGGTGCTCAGTGCTTCTCAAGAACAAGAATATTCTTGTGCAGAACTTCTGAATATCACTTTTCTGAGCTTTGTAAGCTCCCAACAGCCATGCTGCTTTCTGTATATAAATTAGCAGCAAGACAGTGAATACGTTTTTTGAACATTCTGTATAGAGAGATCTATTCTTTTACTGGGGGAAAAAAAAAAAGAATCAAAGGAAAAAATGTCATTTTCCTTTTACAGCAGCCATCTCACAACTTCATTTCTTACTGCTTATTTTAGGCAACAACATTACAGGACATTACTACACATGTGCAGAAATAAAAAGGAAGCACAGAATGAATTAAAAATCAAAATGACTTAAATCAGCCTTGGAAATCAGTATACAATTATCAGCATTCAGCATTTCTTTGCCAGCAATCTAACACACATACAGGCATGCAAATTGGTGTGGTTGCAGATATTCTAGCAAGAAATCAGCAAAACATTCACTTATTACAAAATGCAGAGCCCTGGACACTGATTTTACATCACATTTAGACTCTCCAAAATCAGCCCAATTTAGAAAAAAGACACTTTGTGTTTTAACCAGTCAGTGCCCAGAGAGGGGAGATGCTGGTAAAACGCAAGTTGCATTCATGTTCTCCGTGGTGCTCACCATCCTGGGCAGGGGAAAGGGTGGGTGGGTGGGAGTAAACAAGGGCCAGAGACACTGCTGCAATTCTGCTTCTGTGTTGTGAACCCACGTTATTCCTCCATGCAGGAGAGAGGGTCAGAGGCCACTTAAAGTCGCACTGGGCCAGAGAGGTGAAGGCTCATTGCTGCAGCCTTTTGGCACTGCTGTGCGCATCAGAGAGGGCACTGCACTACATCGTTGTGTGCTAGAATAACATATGAACCACCCTTGGGTGCTGAGAGGCAGACATGACAGTACAGCCCTTGTAACCCTTTGAATTACTTACTGCCCATTTCTCTTCACAGTAATTTTTGAATTTAAAAAGTCAGCCAAAACTACCACAGAGTTATCAAGCTCCAGACATTTGAATATTTGCCTTTAGGTTGCAAGTCAGTGCACAATGAATAGAAGCAGCATTTTAAATAATCACACATTTGGGTGCGAAAATGAGTATTTTTACATTAATAAAACAACCAACAAAAATGAAACCCTTGGGGTGTGAAATAACCCCAGAACAAAATAAATAAATAAATAGTCAGTTTATGTGAAAATAGCACCAAAAAGTCATTTTCACACAACTCCAGTTATAACCTTGTTAGGCTCAAATGTAAATGACACATTAAGATTATATTTAACTATTCACTCGCTAGAAGGGTACAAAACAGTCCCTTAGCCATAGTTGGGTTTTTTGCACCAAACTTGGAAGTAGAAGTTGGAGAGCGGTTCATGGAGAACCAGCCAGTGGGAATTTCATTCTGTCCAAATTCAGACAGAGAGGTAAAGAAATCACTTTAGATAAAGTGATATTCCAGGGCAAGCCTACTCTTGCTACCCAGAGCTGCAAGGAAGATCATCTGTCAGCTCTATCTGCATCATGCTGACTTCATTTACACATCTTCGATTGAGCGTAGAAACGTAGTGATAATGCCATTTAACCAATACAACATAACTTCTGCTGCAGCCACCAAGCAGACTACCAGTTCCTAGGATATAATGACAATTGCATGCATATTCTTACCTAGCATGCATGCTAAAATCACCCCTAGACGATGGTGTTTTCAATTTATAATACAAAATATGCCCAACCAAGGAAAAGGCAGAGACAGACTGGGATTAGAAAGCCTCATAAATGAAATCAGTTATTGGAAAGGAAAATAGGCTAGCAACTGCCCTTGCAGTATGCACTGCAATATGTGTGCAGAATCATTTGAAAATCCTGGAAATTTGTCAATGTCTTGTCTTTGTTATTATTGTTTTGTTCTGGAAACCTGCAGTCTAAACACATCGACAGGATGATTAGGTCACTGGTTAAGCAAGAGAGAAGCAGACAAATGAAGTATGACAAACAGGATTTTCCAAATTATTTAGGTTTTGGAGTGCTGTTTATGCTTTCTGAAGTCAGCACCTCACAAAACACTGTCAGAAGCAGTAAGAGAGTTCATAGTCCATCAAGACGACAGTCACTGGTCCATATTTATTAGTAAATGGCAACTGCCATACAGAAAGCTATATTTAAACGTTACCATATTTGTGGAAGATGTAAAAAATGATCCTAAATACATCTTCCACTAAACACACTTTCCCATCTGTGCAAGGTCCCACCACCCAGCTAACTTTTCTCCAGCCTCCTCAGGTATTACTCCTTTCCGATTTCTTTTGGACTCAACATATTATGCTGCTTGAAAACAGGATTTGGATACCCATGGTTCAAAATCACAGCTCAGAAGCTTTTGCTTGAATTAAAAATAAAATATCCTGCCTGTTTCTGGCTTTTTTTTTTTCCTAAAACCAGTTGTGAAACTTCCATTCCTTCAAGACCTTTTTCTTCTTTCTTTCTTAGCTGATTACAGCACTGTGGGTGGACCAAAACTAGTTTTCAGCCTCTGGGAAAGAATTAACTCCATCAAAATGAATTTACAACTGAGAATTAATTATATAATCAGTGTGTTACTTCAAATCTTCCTTGCATATCCTGATTTAAGAAACCTTCATTTCTACATTAATTGCCTGAACAAAAACACAAAAGGGGTTTTACAAAAGATTAGGCATGTCAGGGGAAGGAAAAAAAAAACACACCCAGCAAATTCAGAAATGAAGTCTTTTGTGTCCAGCTAATGTACATCAACTTAAACTTGTAAATGAAGACACCAAATCTCTTCCATACTGAAAGAAAGGTGCTTCTAGATTTATTTCTGAAATACGTAACAGCTAATAAACAGGACATGTAAACGCACTCAAAGGGTTACTACAGCTCTGTGATCTTCCTTCCCTTTCCTACGATGTTATGCTGCTCCCAGACATTCAGGGACAGTTGCAAAAGAAACTGTCACATGACTGCAAAATTGAGGTACTTCCAACGATGAAGACTTTGAAAGTGTGTGAAATATGGGGCAGGCCAGGAGAGGACATCTCCAGCATTAACACAGCAACTCACGACAGGCAAGCTACAACGGTCAGAGCCGGGCTTGCACGGGGAAATCATAAGACCTATGGAGAAAGAGACTGAAGGCAAAAATTACCAATAGTCCAGTCTGCTCTGCAACAAAGACCAAATACACTAGTTACTGCTTCTGCTCTAGCAAAGTATCCGTTACTGAACTGAAAACTTGGATGGTGGAGATCATCTACTTCTTGTGATCATTTGTTTCAGTGATTAATAGCTTTCATCTTTACAAAAAGCTGTTCCCTATTTTTTAAATCTATCCTTCAGATATTTTTCCTCTGGATACAACCAAACCAGTAAGCAATGCTCCAAACGCACAGACAACTTTTAATGTTGTTCTCTAAGTGTATTTCTGATGTACACTGCAAATATCGTACGCACACAACTAAAAACTTACGCTTGAAGTCACGAGCAAGTTCTAAATACTTGCTCGCTTGGTTTTCATATAAAACACTCGTACAAAAAGAAATCTTGTATGCGACTTTCAAACAAGTGGTATTCATCAGCAGATTTTTGGCATGCTAAGGGAAACTCAATATATAAAGCCGAGGAACACTTGGGGGCAAGGATGAGGAAAAGGGGAGGAGAAAAAATAAATAGGGATTAATGCAAAAGGAGGAAGAAAACAGGATACAGGCAACTAAGTCAGGAATGAAAACCTTTAATATCTTCAGGAATTCAAAGAGTTAGTCTGCCAAGCCCTGGGCTGGCCTAACTTTCAGGATTAGCTTTTTTACAGAAGCTATGTCATTATGCCACTGCTGCTACAAGCACATTAGGGCAATGTTTTACAGGATTTATCCCACGTACCAGATATGAATTCTCCAGTGTATTAGCAACAAAGGAGATTGATGGAAAGGGGAAAGAAAGCAAAAAAGTTCAGGCATGCATGTCTTTTTGCTCCACTATTATTCTGGGTTTTTAAAAAAAAAAAACCCACACTGTAGTTATTTAGAGAAAAGCAGACTTAGCCAAAGTTGGATTTCACTTACAACTTGCTCTGTGCTAGACTACAAAACACCAACCTTAGCGGTGTCCAGCAAAACCTGTGCCAAACAACATCTTAAGGCCAAAACACTTGTAGATGAAGAACTTCTGAAACCAAAAAGATTTTATTGGGTATAAACAGCAAACCTGGCCTCTATTGTCTGCAGGGAACACTTCACTAACAGCTTCAGTCTAGCAGCAGAATGAAGCTCTTGTGGGAGGTGGTAGCCATGGAGTGACAGACAGTCTCTTGGTAGCTAAAATGAATTCCAGGCAGAGCTTTGAAAATAGTCACCACAGCAACCTTGAACTGGATCCTGCCTTCAGTGGGAGCCAAAGGCAGCTGAAACGAACCCAGCAATCTGCCTTGCTGAGTCACTGTCTTGCCCTGTGCTGCAATGTCTGCTGCGTGTCGAGGAGGGCTTCTCAGCACTTCCAGGAGGATGGGTACCCGGAGAGGATGGCTGCCAAACTCTGAGCGATTGCCTCGTGCAGTCCCGAAACTGTGCATCACAGGATCTTTTTGTTTATTAACACCATGCTGCAAATGTGCCTG